ATGGTAGTAGATTTCCAAAATTGCACATAGGTTATTCTTGCGGCCACAATTATATGTAGGCTCAAATGCCATATAGAGGTGGCGCAGTGGGTAAATGCAGCACTGCAGGCTACTTCAGCTGACTGCAGTTCTGCAGTTCTGCTGTTCAAATCTCACCGGCTCAGGGTTGACTCAGCCTTCCATCCTTCCGAGGTGGGTAAAATATGCTGACTCTGTAAACCGCTTAGAGAGGGCTGAAAGCCCTATGAAGCGGTATATAAGTCTAACTGCTATTGCTATCTCTAGAAAAATTCTAATATATGTTCAATTTTGGGAGCCTTGTTTTGTAAATGATGCAGCATGAAGTATTCTTCCCAAACTACTGATTTCACATTTGGGGACACAGTGATGGGTTGGAGTAGGACCAGGAATATGTTCATGCCCACTTTGACCAGGAATAACTTTAGACACTCACTTTCTTTCAGATTACTTCTGAGAGTTATTGTTCTGAGGGGGGAAAAAATGGATTAACTATATTGCATTTCAACTCCTGGGGGAGAAAATTCAAATATTATGTCAAGATTTCTTTCCAAAATGTACATGGCTGTTTATGTATTTTAAATTTTGTAATATTTAAGTTTTTGTTTTCTTGTGAGGGCCATACATTTCTGAAGTCATAATTTTGTGCATTTCAGATGAAGGACCGTGTGTGTGTGTGTGTGTGTGTGTGTGTGAGAGAGAGAGAGAGAGAGAGAGAGAGAGAGAGAGAGAGAGAGAGATTAGTGTTAGTTTTTAGGAATGTAATACCATTATTTTGAAATTTTCATTTTGCATTTTCTTTACAATTCAACTGTAGTGTGACAAATATACTGACAGGAGTCAGACTTAGTGGCCTGAATGGCTTCCAGCCACATGATTCTATAAAAATTACCCTAAAATAAAACATTAACTTTGTAACTTTAAATAAACAAAGAATTTTTCATATAAAAGTAATTCAACCTCTTGTAAAAAAAAAAAAAGGAAGAAATAAAACATCCACATTCTTAACCATCTATATTATTATACACANTGCAGCACTGCAGGCTACTTCAGCTGACTGCAGTTCTGCAGTTCTGCTGTTCAAATCTCACCGGCTCAGGGTTGACTCAGCCTTCCATCCTTCCGAGGTGGGTAAAATATGCTGACTCTGTAAACCGCTTAGAGAGGGCTGAAAGCCCTATGAAGCGGTATATAAGTCTAACTGCTATTGCTATCTCTAGAAAAATTCTAATATATGTTCAATTTTGGGAGCCTTGTTTTGTAAATGATGCAGCATGAAGTATTCTTCCCAAACTACTGATTTCACATTTGGGGACACAGTGATGGGTTGGAGTAGGACCAGGAATATGTTCATGCCCACTTTGACCAGGAATAACTTTAGACACTCACTTTCTTTCAGATTACTTCTGAGAGTTATTGTTCTGAGGGGGGAAAAAATGGATTAACTATATTGCATTTCAACTCCTGGGGGAGAAAATTCAAATATTATGTCAAGATTTCTTTCCAAAATGTACATGGCTGTTTATGTATTTTAAATTTTGTAATATTTAAGTTTTTGTTTTCTTGTGAGGGCCATACATTTCTGAAGTCATAATTTTGTGCATTTCAGATGAAGGACCGTGTGTGTGTGTGTGTGTGTGTGTGTGTGAGAGAGAGAGAGAGAGAGAGAGAGAGAGAGAGAGAGAGAGAGAGATTAGTGTTAGTTTTTAGGAATGTAATACCATTATTTTGAAATTTTCATTTTGCATTTTCTTTACAATTCAACTGTAGTGTGACAAATATACTGACAGGAGTCAGACTTAGTGGCCTGAATGGCTTCCAGCCACATGATTCTATAAAAATTACCCTAAAATAAAACATTAACTTTGTAACTTTAAATAAACAAAGAATTTTTCATATAAAAGTAATTCAACCTCTTGTAAAAAAAAAAAAGGAAGAAATAAAACATCCACATTCTTAACCATCTATATTATTATACACAAAACTCTAAAGTAGAAAAAGAACACTTCCCATACTAATGATATTAACAACTCATATCTCCATCATAGAACAATTCAGTAACTAAACTGCAACACCTTGATAACCAGAGATGGAAGTCCGTTTGGATTTCTGGATTTCTGGGATTCAACATCTATTTACAAAGAGCGTAAGCTACCACTCACTTTTTATATTGTAATTTGGTCACCTATGACTATCCCAGAGTTTTTTCTCTCTGCCACAAACCACAGAAAAATTAGTAAATATATTAATAAGATTTGAAATCTACCAATGAATATTGGTCAACTGGCTTAATATGTAAAAGGAGATACTCTTCAGAAAACTTGATCTCTAGAGATTTATGGAAAGAACATGGACTTAGATCTGCAATACAAAACAGATCATAAAGCATTGTTATAGTATGATTACTGACCACTGAGGAATCTTATTGCCTTCTTTTCACTCGATGAATTTTTAAAATCATTTTCAAAGTCAGCATTAGATATTACATTAATGATTCAAACTAGTATTTACTAGGGCAAAAATAACTGAAGCAAAACTCTCTCTGTTCTGGTGTAACTGTGCAGTTGGTACATTAATCAGAACTGATACAAGATTCTCTGCTGCTGAGTAAGACTAATTGGGCCTCTAAATGACAATGAATTACTTATTTGTATGTACAGTACCTGGAACAGTACTTTCATAATCACTTAATGTCAAAATAACATCTTTTAATAGCAACCAATTATGCATGCAGCTAGGAGTTGTGACCAAGTGATATAAGAAAGTATAGATGTGTGAACTACTCTTAATTCATGCTAAGGCAGGGGTAGTCAACCTTTTTATACCTACCGCCCACTTTTGTATCTCTGTTAGTAGTAAAATTTTCTAACCGACCAGCGGTTCCACAGTGATGGTGATTTATAAAGTAGGGAAGTAACTTTANCACTCCCATCCGGTCACATGGGCTGCAAGCCACTCCCACAAAGGAGGCCACACCCACAGAGTAGGTTCGAACAATTTTTGAAACCCATCACTGGTGCACTGGGAAGATTATCTTACGGTTTCCAGCACTTGGTGCTGAAAAGGTTTGCCAACATTGCTTTAGGTAGGGGTTTGATGTAACTCTGTTTTATAAATTTTATAAAGTAAAGCTACTTCCCTACTTTATCAATCACCATTACTGTGGAACCGTTGGGCGGTTAGAAAATTCTACTACTAACAGAGATACAAAAGTGGGCGGTAGGTATAAAAAGGTTGACTACCCCTGCTTTAGATTCTTAAGAAAAATGATGGGCTGAGTAATAGGAAGAACAATTTCTCCTTGTTTGATATTGTTCTTGTAGCTCCGCTGGGATGAAAATGTAAGAAATCTTTTACACTTGCATTTTAATGCACGGCTGGCCTTACTTTGTTTAATTTAGTAATTTACTGGACAGCTTTTCTTTTTTTGTAATTTCAATATTATTGCCTAGTCCAATGAAATAAAAAAATCTTATTTGGCTGCACAGAATGTGCAAAGTTTGTATTTAGCAAAAGATCAAACAGCTATATCTGTCAGTAGAGAGATGTGATTCATGAAGAATCAATATGTCTTTAACGTTAGCCTTTAAGCCTTTGATTTTAGCTTCTTTTTTTATAAGAAATGTAGGAGATCATTCAGCCTTGATCACAGATGCATTAGTGTATCCCGTAACAGATAGTTATAAAAACGAGTCCCTTTTAATGTAGAAGAGAGAAAATTCTAATATTTCCTGTTGCATCACTGATCTTACCTTATTTCTTTTGCTGCCATTGAATCTATAAAATTGGAACTGTCACCTAGTTGTCAGGTTTATCCAAGGATTAGTCTAAAAAGTGCATTTAGGTTTTTATCCTCCATTTTACTGGAGTGAGTCAGATTAAAGTACAATAAATAGCTAACTAAAACCTACTTTCAAATTTAAAGAGGCAATATCACAGTTACATTGTGCAAGAATTCTATGTGTTCTAACTTGGAACGATTTCTTTGGTATTTAGGTTTAATGCTTCCTTGATATTTACACTGCAGCTTGTTTTTCCTACTTTTGTATCAGTTGTGAAATGTGAAAGGTTGTGAACCAGAGGTGGGTTCCTACCAGTTCGCACCTATTCGGTAGAACCAGTCCGTCAAATCTACCGAACCGGTTAGAAGAGGTTCCACCAGTGGACCCGGANGGTTCTCTGAACTACTTAGAAAGTTACCAACCGGTTCTCCCGAATAGGTGCGAACCGGCTGAATCCCACCCCTGGGCCACGCCCACCATAGCTACGCCCACCCAGCAACCAGGCAGAGAACCGATTGCTAAAATTCTTCAACTCCCCCCCTGCTTGATTGTTAGGGTGGAATAGCTCTAAAGGTCAATTGCTCCATTAAGCAGTTCACATGTATCTTAAACAAGCATAGTTCAGAATAAATGATAAAGACAAATGACCCCTAGTGTATTGCTTAGTGTATGTATATATATCATAAATCTTATCCCTTTTCTTTTTCCTTTTGTTTCTTTTTTTTTTCTTCTCCTTTTGTGAGGTCTTTCCAGGTCATCCCCATTTATTCATAGGCACACCGGATGCTGCTCTTCCTGAATCTCATTGCTGCCTTTACAGTAGTCTTGTTTTTTCCATTGTATTTTCTGTCTGGACAGGATGTTCAACCTGAGAAACTTGCTTCTTGTGGAAGGGACCCCAATTAGTTATCCAAGTGACCCTTGAGATAATCATTATTTCATTAAAGTAAGAGGGTTTTTGATTCATTGCATCACTGTGTATCTTTCTGGAAGCAACGGTTTCAGCAGTTTAACGCCTTAAATGGACAATGGCATTAAAATTGTATTTGCCGGAGAAAGAAATTTTAAAGACCCATACAGCACTTTTCTATCGTTGCAAACAAGACAGTGCTGTAAAGAAGAAAGGTTGTGGTATACCAATAGCACTCCATCTTAGAAAATCAATTGTTCAGGAAGCTAACAATCAATCAATAGCTTTGCTTGTAGGGTTCTTATAGCTACTTTTCTTTAATGTTCAAAAATGTTTCAACACTAAACATAATTCCTTTAGGCTGGACTGCAGTTCGGTGAATGTCCTTCCAATTGCCATTTTTCTCAGTAAAAGTCACTTTAGGTCCGTGATGGAAAATTAGTGGCACGTGTGCCAGAAGTGGCACACAGAGGCATCTCTTGATGCCCGGTGTGCATGCACGCACTTCAGAGGTGGGTTCCTACCAGTTTGCACCTATTCGGTAGAACCGGTTCGTCAAATCTACCGAACCGGTTAGAAGAGGTTCCACCAGTGGACCCGGAAAGCAGGCCACACCTACAGAAGAGCTTCCAAAAAATTTTGAAACCCACCACTGGTCCTTGGATATGATTATTCTACACTATCATGCTCCTATTTATAAAACTCAATGCCTCTGTGAAAGGTAAGGATGACTACTGCGTTTGTGGTGCAATGATTGATCATTGTTAATTCTAATTGATTTTTTTTAAAAAAATGTCATTGTCAATTCTAATTGGGTTTGTTTGGGATATTCTATTTAATTTTATAAAAAACTTTTGTATTATGAGTTTCTTTTAATGTTGTACGCCGCCCTGAGTCCTCGGGAGAAGGGCGGCATATAAATCTAATAAACCTAAACCTAATGTTTATTATTACAATTGTGAGGCTGCTGGCAGTTCAAATGAACCCATTTCCAACGTTGTCATAGGAGAAGCACCCACACAATTGAGAAACGGCATACAATCGCCAAGGAAGAAAAAATAAGGTAGTATGTTTTTCATGAGAAGAAGTCATTCTCTTCATAATTTGACCACACCTTACTGTGTCCTGTGAAAACTTGTAAAGGACCTGCTAGTAAGACTGCTTATCTTTTGATGCTTACCAAAAACGGTGTTGGTTGAGACATTAAATACTGGAAGAATAGATAAGTGAAATAAGATTACAAAAATTATATGAATAATCATAGTTCGGAGAACCGGCAAATACCAATTCTGGCTGCTTTTTGCAATATCGTTCCCCCCAGGAGTGGGGAGAGAATGGAGATTTTGCATTATCCTTCCCCTGCCACGCACACCAAGCCACGCCCACAGAACTGGTAGTAAAAAGTTTTGAATTTCACCATCGAGTGGCTGGTTCCAAGTACTTTTGGCCATTCGATGGTCACAAGTACAAACTATTCTTGTTAAAAAAACCTGTCATGTCCTTTTCCAAAATACTCCAGATAACACTGAGAGTTCAAACAGTATACAGTAATCATTGATACAGTATATCCTCAATAGAGTGTTTGAATATTTAAAAACCCTTTTTCTATGTATATAGTATAGATTTTGTCTGATTCACATGAGATTGTAAACTTCTGGCATAAAGTTTCCTCTTTAAATGCAATCCAAACATACATCAAGTATCCACTACTAATTCATTAATATTCATTATTCCTTTGAGGCAGCCAATGTAATCCATCTTGAAGGGAAAGGTGATGGGTCTGTTGCATAATAATGTAATATGTTTTCCAAGTTCTGTGATCAAAACTTCAAAGAATGCAGCAAACGTTTACATTCTCTTTTTAGGCAACCACATCACGGTTATTCTAGAAATGTCGTATGAGCTGATGGTTGTGGTATTTTGGAACTGCGTGGATATGTACTGTAATATCTATATCTTAATTTTTCCTTTGAGAAAACGTTTTTAAGTTTTAAAATATCCTGTTATGTATTTCCCATTTTCCCAAGCAGGGAGATATTCCAGGAACAGCACTGCAGAACTTTTATTTAGATACTTGTGCACTGGTTTTGACATCCTTTAATTTGCAAGAAAAGACATAATACATATAAAAATAAATTAAAAAGAACCTAAGAACACGGGATAAAAAGACAACCAGAAAAATTAATGAAAAGTTGAACATTAAAGAGAACATCTTAGATAAACTAAGAGAAAATGGTTAGAAAAGGAGGAAGGAAAAGGAGTGATATATTAGTAGAATAAAATGAAATATGTTAATACTGTTAATGATATGTAGTTATTTAAGGTGTGAGGGAATTACATTAACATTTTTAATTGCGGATAACTAATTAAGCCATTAATGCTTATTATAAAAAAATGAATTTGAGGATATATGTTAACTATAGAAAATATAATAGCAGAAAATGAAATGATAAATTTTGGTTTATTTCTGAAGAGGCAAATAATGATATTGTTTATGTGTTAAGAAAAAAATAAGTTTAAGATGGAAAATATGGGAAGAGAATAATATGGCTAAAATTGAAAATGGAAATATGATGTAAATGAATTATGTATATGAGAGAATGTTAAAGGGGAAAACCTAGGCAACACTTTTGTTTACAAAATAATTTAAAATTTGTAACAAAAAATTAAAAAAAACTTTGTTTGAAAAGACATCTTTTATTTGCTTGAATTGCAAATGTACAATGAAAGCAGGAAAGAGAAAAATACATTCCAACCAGAACAGGGGTGGGTTTCNTGCGTCTTATACTCCGAAAAATATGGTAGTTGTGATTTTGAAGTTCTGACAGCCATACACACCTCCTACGGTTCACATTCTGGATGCTGACAACCAGTGTGCATTTACAGCTGTTTGCAATGCCACAGTCATGTGAGTCATGATTTTTGGTGGGTTTTGCCATTTCCCACCGTTACTTCCATTGCATTCATAAGTTGTGAACTACCTATAAAATTGAAATTACTCAAAACCCGAGGACTTTAAATGGTTTCCATTTTGGAGGTATGTTTTTACATCTATAAACAAAGTAACTTACAACTTTTGAGTTTCGGGCCACAGTGTATTCTGCAAGAGGTGATCTTCCGTGGGAGGTTCTGAAAAAAATAATTCAATTCAGTACTGTTGTCCTTATCTTGAACTGGTCACCTTGTCAGCTGTTTGAAAAACCATCTTTGCTCCAGAATTAGGTACTGAATTTAACATAATAGCATACCTGAAAGACTACACGGCTGAAAGTAATTTTCACGGTACTGTCTGGAAGCATTGCTGAGATTTCCTTCTTCAATTGTTTGAGCTGTTGTATCTGCAGCTGTAAATGTACAAATGTTATTGCTTTAAAAGTCATCAAGTATGGAATCTGCAAAAAGATGGCATCTGTTACCAAGCACTAAACAGAAAGAGACAACTCCAGCTTGAAGATAAAAAGAATCTAAAGACAAGTTAAGCCATAATCTACACAGCATGAGGAGGAAAGTCAGAAGATATTACACCGCGTGGTAAAATAATTAGGCCTCATGATGCAAAGCGTGACAGGAGCTAGAATAAGTTAAACTTTCATAACAAGATGAAAGAAAGAAGCTGGTATAACAATGCATTCAGATTTCCTTATGCTCTTAAAAGGGATCATGACGGGGGAAATGCAGTATGAAAAGATAAGATAAATTAGAACCATTCATTCATTAATAATGTGTTCTTCAAACTGTTGGATTAGAAACAGGGACAGCAAAAGAAAAAACGAACCAAAAGAAAAAAGAGGTGAGATAAATCATTTGTAGAAGAGGAATGCCAGTCATCCAGAATTACGATAATCAACTATTTACTCTTCAATGGGCATATATAGGCTTACACTACAAGACAGTAATTCTATATCTTACAGGGTTAAGCAGGAGTTCAATTCCAAAAAAGGTGCTTTGGGGCTGGAACATAGAACCTCCGTTACGAGCTATATGATGCTAGGTACCATGTCATGCTCCCACATGTTCCCAAGCACCTTTTGGAACTGAATCAGAGGTGGGTTCCTACCAGTTCGCACCTATTCGGTAGAACCGGTTCATCAAATCTACCGAACCGGTTAGAAGAGGTTCCACCAGTGGACCCGGAAAGCAGGCCACACCTTTGCAATTTATTTGGTTACTTTTCCCTCAAGTAATGTTCAAATATTCATTCGTTATTTTATTCAAGACTGAAACTTTCTAACTTCTGTTATGTTACTATAAGACTGCAGAGTCAACTGCCTCCATCTTTAACTGTCCCATTGATCCAGAAATGGGCAATCAAAGAGAATCAATATTTCTATCCCTCTACTACCATTACTTAGAAGCATTTAAGCTGTCCAGGCCTATTTCTGAAGCAGTTAAAGCTTGCAGTTTCATAACAATTATGCTAACATTATTAATAAAAAGAAAGCCCATTCAAAAAAGGAAACACTTAAAAATATAGAGAAGAGAATAATTTGATCCAGATTGTGAGTCATGAATTATGATGAATTGCTTCTATTCAAGAATCAGAGTTTTCTGAAATTACATAGGCTATTACTGAACTCAAAACAATATACCAACATGTGGAAACCAAGAATTCAAGGCCCATGTCTAACCTGCCATCATTTGCTCAGTCAATGCAGTGTAATTATAGCAACTCCACTGAACAAGATAAGTTGCTCAAAAGAAATTAAAATATGATAACCTACCAGGACCTGCATGACGAATATTGTAAGATATTAGTGAATATATTAAAAGAGATCCTCTGTGGCTAGTTTGAATTTCTTTCTGCTAGATTTGCTGGCAGATTGAAGCTTCACACTCACAAAATCAAGCACTATATGGCACAGCAGAAGATCCCATTCATACTAATCTGAGAGTAACTTCCACCAAACCCAGTAAGGTTTAGTTCTGAAAAGATATGCACTACCAGAAGGTTTTGAGGCAGAAATATTTGTAGGGTCTTTGAGATCATTTGCTTACTATGCTCTGTTCCATCAATTCAAATACATGGCTTCTCTTACAGCTACCGACCCTTTCTTCTTAAGACTTTGGTGATGGATGTTCAGTAAGGAGTATGCAAAACATTTTGAATTCCGACCACTTTGAAACTGAAAGGTTCTGTTTTGATCATTTTGAAAGTATTTCTTATGTTTGAAACAGAGCTGCTTTGAGCTCAAAAGGCCTCCAAAATTGTCAAGACAACCCATTTAACGAGGTAGCTGTTTTGTGGACAAAATGAGGTGCTTGGGGCTTAAAAGAAAGGATTTCAAATTTAATATGGTCTAAATTCAAAATGTTTTGCATTCAATGACCCCCCTGCTCCAGATGGTAACCAGCAAAAGCAAAAGCTACTTCATTTTTTCGATTACTTTGTATTTTTTACAAGGTATTCCATCACTAGAACATAACGATGATAAATATACAAAACCAATCATATATAAAATCATAATAACAAACTAAATGATGAATTGGGATATCCATAATAAGCGTTGCACAAGCTTCAAAATTGATTTGGAGAAATGCTTGGGATAAGCCTCTACTATTCATTAAAGCATACCAACATTTTTCACATTTGGGAGCAAGCTTGAAAAACAGACCCAGCTGCATTCGGAGGTGCAATGAATCAACTCCTCAAAAGTAACTTCATTTTTTCCCCCAAGCTTGGTAGAAGCTTGGAAAAGGTAGGTGACTTTAACAAATAGTACAGAGGTACTATGTATGAGAAACATTTCTCAAATCATTTCCAAACTACACACACATCTAACAGGAAGGAAGGAAGGAAGGAAGGAAGGAAGGAAGGAAGGAAGGAAGGAAGGAAGGAAGGAAGGAGGGAGGGAGGG